TCCAAACCAAGGCCAGAAAAAATTGAAAAAAAAAAATGGAAGATGAAAGAAAGATCATATAGAAATGGATTAATTTTCTGTACACTGATAACGTATATATTGTCATGTTTAAATGAATGTCACATATAGTAAATTTGAATTTCAAATCTAAATTTTACTTACATGACATTCATCTAATCATGATAATAGATATAACATTTACTCAATAGAAATATGGCCAAAGAAAAGAAACTATGCTATGAAAATCTCACTCGGGACAAAAATGTTCATCATTGCCGCTAATCCAGGATGCCTACAAATCGATACCATCGCACCATCTCTCGCAAGTTCTTCGGGGGGTTTATTTGCGTTCACATCATAAAAAATGCCACTACGATCGGACCCCTTACCCAAGGGTTTCTCTAAGAACAAATTTTGCCGTCAAGGAGGGGCAAAATTCAAAATTTCCAATTGTATGACAGGAAAGAATAAAGGACTTGAAAAGTCTCCAAGTAACCGAGTCAGAAAACTTGTCTAATATTGATGTTGATCCTTGAAGATCTAACATAATCAAGGAAAGGAAAAGAATCTTCTCTTGAAAATTGTGATTCCAAATCAACTATTTCAGCACTTTCTGTGTCAGTGAAGATCCTAGGAACACCTGCAGAATAAGCAACTGATTCAGCAGGGGAATGCTTCAAAAGACCAATAAACACTGTAAACTCTCTGGAGAAGAGTGCATCAACTGACTCTTTACATTTAAGAGGAGACGCACTCAAGCACCAAAATTTGAAGTATGAAGTTACCACATTTAAAGAAAAAAAATGTAAGATGAGACTGCAATTGACATGGTAATTGCTGTTCACCTGAAAACCGAAGGTAAAACAGACAAGAATAGCACTGAAAAGTCAGAAGAATTGGGATGATAAAAAGCGGGCATAACCTTATACTTGCAAGTCATCAATGAATCCTCATCCATGAAAGAGACTACACACTCCCTCCCATTTCCCACTCAAACAGCGAATTATAAGACAATCTTTATGCAGGTGCCTTTTGAAACCAGTCACAACAAAAACACCAGAAGTCAATCTACAAGTATTGCTTCCATCACGACAGTAACAAGTGTGATAAATTTGGTCATGAAAATGATAACAGCAACACCCAAGAAGACTCTTGAAGATATCTGCCCTAATTCCATAAACACGAAGCATAAGATGATAGACTCCACCAGATGAATCTCATGATTAATGAAAATGAATCCTCCTGAGGTAATTTAAGGAGCTTTGAGGCAAGCAGAACAATTGGTCCATGTAGTTCAGGATTTACAGGACCTCAGCCCATTGAGCTGAGGATTCTCTCAAAAGTAGTGAACTTCAAATGGTCAGATCAAGGAAACAAAATAATGGGAGTCACCAAAATATGTGGACAATCTTCATTTATGACTAACTAACCTAATTATTATGTGTGGCAAAATTTGACAACTTGAAAGACAATATCAAGCATTACTCAAGAGTTTATGTATATCAATTATAAGAAAAGCAAAAGAGAAACGTATGGATCTTGTATGAAAAAAAAAATTCCAATATTCACAACCAACAAAGAAGAATGCATAACAGAAGCTGTATGCTTTTCACTACCATGAAAGCACTCCCTCGCTTCTCCAGCCATAAGTACAACATCGCCACTTCTAAGGAACATTGCAAGTGGTGGATCCTCCCTAGACTTTCCCCCAAGAAGAAAAATAGCTTTGCAACCCAAGCTGAAAGAGAAAAATTGATTGTTAGGTACTAACATTTTAGCATTCTCACATCCAGATTAAACAAAGAAAAAGAATAATTTCAAAAATGAACAAAACAAAAGCATAAAACCTTATGCTGACAATCGGTTTACTCCAATCTTTTTCCATGTCATCGAGGTGCCCACCCAGCATATCTCCTGTAGAGTATGGAAAAGCTATTGTTAATGGTTGAACAAGATAGATTTTTGTAGTATAAGGTTATACAAAGAGAGTGATAAAGTACATGCTTAAGTACGGTAAGAATAGATATATCACACAAGATCTAGGTCAGACTTGTGCTGCAGTATACCCATTTATGAGCAGACGACAAGGAAGCCCTCAGGAAACTGATGAATTCATAATACCTAGAGCAAAGTAGTTCACTATTGCAGCTTCTGGCTGGAAATCTTGACCAGGAGGCATTGCAGGCTTGGCCAACCTTTTAGCAAGGCAACAAAGAGCCTCAGGTATCTTAATGTGAGGGAGGGAAACATTATAGCTCCTCTAGAACATAAAACAAACCAAAAGGAAACAAGAAATCAGCAATTAGAGTGCTAAAGAAAAGGTGAGGCTCAATTGTCCATGAGTAGTCAATAGACAAGTTACATGCAATTGTGAAACGGTTAAGCAATTCAAAATCATCACCTATATGCAAGAGATGCTATTTCAAAATCAACAATCTAGATGAGAAACTGCATAGAGAAAACCAAAATAATTAGCCTCACATGTCTACAGTTCTTATACATCTCCCCCTCCCTTTTTCATTTGGTAAGTGGTCATACACTTACAGATACTGCCTCAAGTAATAATATCATATAGTAGAAAACTACAGGACATTCTTTTCTCTAGTTTCTCGTTTTCATGTTCTTTGCTCATAATAAAAAAAAAATTATGCTCAAGCAAAAAACATAAGCAAGCCAAATGAAGTCAACCATATTTAAGACAAATGACACAAGCAAACAGAAAAGTTAAACTTAAATGACTTGTTTGGGAAAAAAGATCTCTAAGGCCTTGTACAATTGAAAAACTATTCAGGACATCAAATTGAGGGACAGCTCGAATGACGGGTATAAAACCTCTTTACAGGAGCAAAGAGTATCAGAACACATGATGATGTCCCGCTATGAGCATCACAGAAAACTAACTACACCCAGGAAATCTGAACATATGCAAGTTATCTAAGAAAAAATCCACGCCAAACCTGAAGCTATGACCAACATTCTGCTTTGAGAATAGACTTAGCAGACACTGATTGCCAAGTTTCAAAGAAACAGCGAAAACCATACAAGTCCATGTACAAGAACACAATGGGGAGAAGAAAGCAAATGGACCTTAGACCAGTCAAATTGCAGGCCAAGAGTGCACCAACGCAACTTCCGCAGCAAGACAGAGGCAGACACTGATTTACATGCATCTCCTCTGCATGATTTATCTAACTCGCCAGAGAATTTCCACCTCGGAGTAATTTGGGCATCATGCACAGAATCAATCTCGGAAACTATATCCCTTGGCTGCTCAATTTCAACCAAGACCCTTTCTTCTTTGGCAGCAGCAAACAAGTTCTCTAGAGGCCCGTAAATAGCATTATGATTCGTCCTGTTAGGTGGGTGAGGAAAACTTGCTAAACTCTCTCTTATCCACTGGCATTGCTCCTCAACGCTCAAAGCTCCCGGAATGAAGTAAAACCCTGAATATATAAGCAGCAGCTCAGAGCATCTTTCAACCATCAGAGGCACACAACAACAATACAGACTACAGAGAGTGTCACTTCACGAAGATCCTTCATGAAAGAAATTTGCATACCAGGCCGACTATCCAAGCCGAATACAGGCGTGCCGAAACTGGATGTAAGCTTGAAAACTCCAGCTGGAAGTTCATTATTCTGATTATAGGATTCTAAAATACACTTGAAATCAATGACCTCCGACAAATCTACCGCTCTCGGCTTCTTTTTCCTAAATTCGAGGAACGTAAACACAAATGCTCGAGAATTTTTCAGCAAACCAGAGGAAAGAAAATTCGATGAAATGATAATCTAAAGTGGAATTAATACCTCTTGTTGTTAGTATTATCGTAGTAAAGTTTGTATTTCTTTTCTGCTTTCCTGAAAGCTGTACGCTCCGAATCGTCGACGGCTTTATCCGACCCGTACATATTTCAGTGCCCTGCTAGTGCGACCTCCCTAGCTTTCGAAATTCGAATTGGCTGATGGATGCTATTGCTCGCCCAAAACAAAGAAAATTGCTCTAAAAAGATTTGGAATTAGATTGAAAAGAAAGAAATAACTACTACTACTCCTCGTCCAAAAATTAGGTCCCCTTTGGTAAATTAGGTCTGCTGCTTAAGCGGATCAGCCAAAAAATAGAAAAAATGATTTCCGCTTTGGTAAATTGGTGATCAGCTGTACCTCAGAGTGCCATGCGGCGAAGGTTTGCAGTTGGCCAAGTTACAGACTTGCAGGCCAACACTCCCGTTCCGAATGTTTTACCCATCTTGCCCTTCAAGATAAAGGAATGTAGGACTCTATTTTTTTTTTTTTTTTTTTTTGGGTAATAGAAACTATAGGAAGGGTACAAAGTGCAGTTTAAGATTAAGAAGACGTAATGGAATACAGCCTATAATTTATACTTTTAAAGTGAAAAACTTTTTCTTCTTTCTCTTACATTTTAATTTGCACACACGAATCATTCAAATTAATATATTTCTAATCAAGCAATCATGAACAACATCTTCTAAACGAGAGGAAAATAGATTGTAATAAAATATTTAATTGAGAAATTGAATATCACTTTGTCTTTATACGTTTTATTGTTATTAGAAATACATAATAATTCAAAATGATACGCTACCATGATATTGAACTTCAAATTTTATATTATATATCATATATTACTATCTATATATTATTACAAACAAAAAATCAATTTAGATTTGAAGCGAATACTTAAGGGTTACTTTTTTACATACCATTTGTTTTCAATACATTTTATTATTGACGATCAAATATTTTTTATTAAAGTTAAAGTTAGGCAACTTTTAATTGCAGTATTTTAGTATTCCAAAATCTCAAATTCTAGTATGAACTACATGTTACTCACAAAATTAAAAAAAAAAAAAAAAAAAAAGGCCCCACACACAACAATAACAAGGGCAGCTTTGTCTTTTAGAGACGGAGGACAGTGATGCGCAGCCACGTTGCGAACTGAAAATAAAAATCAGCATCCTAATAAAATAAACCGTTTCATAATGCTTGTGGCATAGAAGAAAGAATCGCCTCATTTTTCCCTTAATCTCGGGAACTTTTCAGATTGAGGCACACATAAATCAGCAAATCCGAAAAAATAATAATAATAACGACCGGAAGAATTCAGTCAAATTTGGAAATGGCGTGCAGGACTGTGTTCAGAACTGTATTGACAGAAGCATGGCGACCTTTGCCTGGAAAATTAACATCTTTTTCCTTTCCAGCCCAAAAAATTCCAACGACTAATTTGAGATGTGGCTGTAATGTTCCCAAGACTCGAAATTTATGCATTGGGAGGAGAACCCGTCATCCCAATTGCTCCGATAATGGAAACCCGTCACCTTCATCTGCAGATGACCAAGACCAAGACCCCCCTCAAGAAGCTGTTCTCAAGGCTATTTCAGGTACAGCTATGAACTTCCTTCTTGTTCCCCCGATAGTCATGTCCTTTTTAGATTATCGTATTTAGTGGGCAAATTTTCCATGGTGATTTATCCATGTGAAACTGTAAGTGATATTATTGTTGTGCAATAAAGATCAAAATTTGCGTATTACGAGCTAAGCTGAGCCTTGTTATGGAGAGTAGCATGTGTGTTCAATCTGAGAGCTTTTATTGAACACCATATCTGGCTAGAGAATATAGTCATGAATATATGTTTGTATGTGTGTTGTGGGAGTTGTTAATTGGGATATTATCTGGAGGGTCTACAACTTTCATTGTCTTATAAGCATAGGAAAAAATGTGCTCCCCTTTGCTTGGGATGGTGTTTAAGGACCGGCCTTCACTTCAATTTGCAGTTTGCCTCAATATCGTTTTCACGTATAATAATGAATCATTTACTGTAAGACTGAAGCGGGCTTTCCCTATACGAGCTGAGTGCTTCTTTAGATAAGTTTTTAGGGGACTGGTAGGCTTTCCTATTTTACTCAATTCTCAACTGCACTTTCCTCCACTTACCGAAATCCCAAGGCATTATTGAATACCTACAAGTTGTTAGAAGATTACATAGTGTGTGAAGAATATCTTGCTAAGTTTCATCCAATTCTATTCAGAAGTTTCGAGGGCAGAAGGGAGGGTAGGACAAACGACAAATGTGGTCATTGGAGGTACAGTAACAGATGATTCAACTAATGAGTGGCTTGCTCTGGATAAGAAGGTATGTTAACCTGAGTGCTCTTCTCATGTACTGTATCAACTTGTGCATTTGAGTTGCAAAAGATAAATTTTCTCAATTTTCGATGAATACCTTTCCAACAAGCTGATGGATTTTAGCTAAGATACAAGTCCATTAAGCTCATTCTTAAGTAATGCAAGGATTTTTAGATGTAGACAGTAGAGGATTTGTAGTTTCACTAGCTTTTTTTCTAACATAAAGAATTTTAAAATGCTTGGCCATTGATGCTCATTGAACTTGAAAATTAGGTTCAGCGCTGGTATCCTGCTTGTGGCTATTTCTGGAGATGAGCATGATGCTATTTTCCTACTTTACAGGTGAATTCCTACCCAACTGTCCGAGGGTTCACAGCTATTGGAACTGGAGGTGATGATTTTGTACAGGCTATGGTTGTTGCTGTAGAATCAGTAATTCAACAGCCAATACCTGAGGTAATAGAATGTTTCATCTGCTAGACATCATATAGCATGAGGTTCTGTGGTTATCTATTCAAGCTTTGTGTTTAGGATGAGGAGCAGACATGAATACTGTGGCTTACAGTAGCTGGATTATGCTGCAAATGGCATTTTAATGGTTTGAATGGAAAACCAATTTAAGACAATCGTGAGGATACCGTTTAAAATCGTTGACTGAAATCTGCATACTGTTTTATGAACTGCATCTAATGTGCAGTGGGTTCAACTCCTCCCATAGTCCAATTTGATGAAGGACATTATTTGCTCGACTTCAGTAATTATTGTGTCATGTTCAAAGTATGAAGACAATGATCTATACGATAAGTGATAAAAATACTATTCATTTAATTTGAAACTTTACTAATTTTATTCTTTTCTTGGTGTATCAAAATGTGTCTTCTTCTATTTGAATGTTTGATGGATTTGGAGTCAGGTTTTGGCAGACATAACTTGATAAATCAGAGCCTGGGTTGGTTCTTCATATATTCAACAAAATCAGAACATTGAAAAAAGGGTCCCATATGGTTGAATGGATATGCTTGCTTGCACTACTCGTGCAAAATTTCTAGTAAAGAGATGTAATTCTTGAAATACTCTGAGGGAATTGCACTTTAAGCTTTGATTTTTCCTAATTTGAGGTTGGCACAAATGTGAGAAGGTTAGGTAGCATCCTGTAAGCTGAATAGCTGAAATGCTTATTTCATGCTTAAAGTGGTGTGCCATCTCTTTGCTTATCAAAATTGATAAACTGTCTACCATATGATTAAATTTTGAGTGTTAGGAGGTGTGTGTTGGCAATCTGAGCTGTTGATTTTTTTAGACTGTTGCAGCTGGCGCATTACTCACAAGTTAGTGAAGTATTACCTATTACCTCTGATGATGCCATTTTTCTCATTATATGTATGTCTGCAGTGATTCTGTTTCCTGTGATTTTCCTGTTCTGACTAGAAGGTGATTGTACTATGGTATGAGAACCTGGAAGCTTAAGAATAGAAAAGTAACAAGAAGTATGAAAGGTGGTTTGCAATTTTTTCAACTCATAAAATTACTCTGAACTTGCATGCTGAAGTATAAGAGAGATTAGGATGGTGTTTCTCTAACTGAACAAGGTCTTGAATATGGTTGAAGGGTCTGCTGAAAAATTATGAAAATTTTATACTACTACTTGTTTATCTGGGAATAAGCTCATTAGATGTTAGTCCCGAAATATCTGGTTGCCAAAAAATAACTAAAGTGACTGTATGAAGGGAGAGAATCAGATATTTATGCAGAATTTGGTTCACTTTTAAAGATCTCGCGGAATGTTTGATAGAAAAATTTATTTTTCTTAGTTACGTTGATTTTTTTTGGTTTTGAGATGAACCTTTTCAAAAGTAATGAGACACACTAACTAAATTATAAGTACACTAGGTCCTTGGTACAATGTTTACTTAGTCATTTCTGCTTTGTGACATGGATAATTAATTTCTGCTAGTACATATTCTTCGGATCTTGTATAAAATGAACCCTTCCATGTATGCCTTAATGTGCCAGTTCTTTCTTTCTCTTTACTGTTATTTGTTCATTTTGCACTTTGGCCTTTGGAATTTGACTGCAAGCTAGATTTCAAGATTAGCAAAATCAAATAAACGAAAGGTAAAGGCAAAGAAATGCTTATTACTGTTTAAGTTTAGCTGTCAGATGTCAGAATTAATCATCTTTCCCAAGTGCAATATCCTTTCCTTTCTGCTGTTTTTTTTTTTTTTCTATTTTTGGTTTCAATTAGAAGGTAGGACTTTTGTTTTATTTTGAGAGTTTTCAAAAGGATAGTCCAGCATTTCCATTCTTCTTTGGTAGTTTTTTGGGCTAGTTTTCCGTCTTTCTTGTGAAGCCCCTTACAATGACTACCAATTTATTTTGTTCGATTAGAAGGCATTAGGCCAAAATAACCAAGATTGAGTAATCTTTTTTTTTTTTTTAAATGCTTGGACTGTGAACTTTCCACATGCTTTTACTTTTTAACAAAGAATTTTGCTAAAATTTTCTGGTTATTTCTTGTTATCAACTGTTTCTGCCTGCTGCATCCAGGGTCAGGTGAAGCAGAAACTATCCTCTAGAGGCAAATACGTGTCGGTAAATATTGGACCTGTCCAAGTTGTTTCAAGTGAGCAGGTCACTCTCTCTCTCTCTCTTTATCTACCAACATACATAAATACGTACGTATGTATGTGTGCATGCGCAGCATATGTGTTTAAATTTTCTTTGTGCAGTGAAATAAACTATTCTTTGATTCAAAAATGTTGGTGGATACACCTTCTTGCTGTGTCTGAGCAATGAGGATTGGTCAATGACTTTGAAGGCTTTCAGACGCGTAGGTTTTTTTTTTTTTTGGGTTATTGTAGATGTAGAATCTAGTAACTTCGTAATGGTTAATCAACTGGTATGTGTACTCTACTGCCTGAAAAAAGCACATGTTGCTTTGTACTCTTAATAATCAACAGCAGTTGGCTAAAGAAAGAACCTGGCAGTTGTTATTTGCGATGATATGTGTAATGTTACGTGCTCACGCACTAATCAGCGACATGACTTGATTCGATTTGATTGTGCATCCAGGTCCAAGCTGTATACAACGCCATGAGGAGAGATGACAGGATGAAATACTTTTTGTAGATTGGATTCAAATTAACCTCTGTATCGCGTATAGTGCACTAATTCTCTCATTAATCTCTACCTTCGCCCTTATTTTTCCTTTCCATGCTGATTATTGCTCGGCTTACAGAAATGGAATCATTTGGTCCATAAGATGTAAAATTGATAAACAGAACCCAAATTTTGGATTGAAGTCGCGTGTTTAAGAACATGAAAAAAAAAAAAAAAATTGGGTAAAAGGAACAAGAAAAGATCAAAGAAGTCGGGTGTGCGAGGTGCTTGAAACTTCTTCAGTATTGGCGTCTGGTTTTTGGCGTTCTGATGATAAAAGCATGCATGCTCAATTTAATATTGTATTCTTCTTCTTCCCAAGCGTTTGTGAAACGACAATTTGGCATGGCATGCAAGAGTAGTAAATGCGTCGCGGTCAAAATTGTCATTTTGGTGTAAAGGTGCTTCGCTTTCGTGGTGGTCTTCACATAAATATCATAAGGCAAGGCACGAAAATCTAATTAATGGCCCAGATTTACCTTTTCTTTTCTTTTTTTTTTCTTTTGGCTTTTCTTGAGACCTGAAGACGGGACAGCAGATATGAAGTTTCAGAATGGCATCCGAACCAACAAGTCCATTGCCATTTCTTTCTTCTTTTTTTTTTAATAATATAGTTTTCGTGATAAGTCTAATATAATAGTGATAGTAGTATAAATTATCCAATTGATAATATTAATGTTGTTTTTTTTTTAATTGCCAAATCTGGTTCATGCAAAGCGACCTGGAAAATTGTCGTCAGCATCAAAAGATTCCGACCTGCTCCCACCAAGTAGGACCTGTCCATCGTTATGCCTGCTAACGTATTGAAATGCTCCAATGGTCACTATCGCTTCAATGTTAATTTATTGTTGGTCGCTTATCTTCTTCAATATGAAATTAATTTCCCTATTATTATATGTAAATTGGTGGAGAATTTTGGCGCCTGGTCTAGATCAATGATTTGTGATGAATTCGATCCTTTTTTTTTTTTTTTTATTCTAATCCGTCCATTCAAGCATGACTAGATTCATACTTACGAAGGTCTAATTCTGCGAACATTGCAAAAGTACCTTCACCATTCAATCCCAATTGTCAAAAAAGAAGGGTGCATCAAATAATCGTTTAATTTGTCTTGCTTGCATTAGTTTGGTTTAAAAACAAAAATGAGATGATGCAAGGAAATCATTTTTTGAGCTTGAAAGAAATGTAAAGCAGAGGTTTGATCTCTTAAAGATGTCAACTCTTAGTTGCGAAGGATGATCTTAAATCTTATGTAATCTGATGTGCCAAGACTCTTAGTGGTTTGGCTCATTCTTAGCAATAATTTGTGAACAAAACACTAAACAAATTTAACGTTCAATCACTGTTTCATGTACATTTCCAAGTCATGTGGTCACTGTTGTCGTCAGTGTCGGCTTTTCTCTATTTGTCGCGTGCTCTGTGAATATCATTAGGACCAATTGAGCATCAGGTGATGTCTGTGCAGAGATAAAAACTTGTTGGTTATTTTGCTTCCCTTCCTTTTCTTCCCTGTTATTAACTTCCTTTTGATTTTCTAATGCATGTTGAGCAAATTAAACATGGGAAGCTTTGAAGATCAGGGAACTCCATGTCGTTTAAGTGGAGAGTACAAGGTAGAATTACTTCTTTCTCATTTTCCAAAACAAACTTTCAAAAAATTGTTTGGATTCTGATTCATAGATTGTTTTGTACAATGCTATAGGATGTGTTAGACAATGAATTTGGAGAAACAAGGTCACCAAATCAAAGCAGACCAGCCAGCATGGTGATCAAGGCAAGTTAAGGGCTTATTCTTTCTTTCCATATTCCATATAGATTAAGTGCTTTTCCCGGGGTTTTATTGTTAGATGTTCCGGTGTTGGATTCTCACTTTGATAAAATGATGATTCTTGATTGTGCGTCCAATGATAAAACAGAAAGCACATGCAGTAATTCCAGCTCACTTGGTAGCCGAAGCAATTTCCACACTCCATGGCCTTGATCTAAGATGGTCAGGACCAATTACGCCCAGCGAAATGCAATATGTACAGCAATATGTCTTTGCAAAGTATCCTGAGTACTCCAATGGCCTCGTGGAAGAAGGAGACGAGATTGATCCGTACAAAATCTGCGTCAACGAAGAGTCTTCAGAGAACATGCTTGAGGACGGCAGGGGAAAGTCCCCCAAGAACATCGGCGCAAGGGACTCATCTTCGCCTTCTTTTGGCAGTTCTACCACTGATTTGGACAGAAAGCAACTGGAGCCCTCAAGATTACTTGACATCCTCAACAAGAAGACTTCTCTTCAGGGGAATTTTATTTCAATCCCTGAAATACAAGTTCGTAATCGAGCCTTGCAGCAGTGTGGGCTAAAAGAAGAAGAATACTTGGTTCTTTTCGCTCCTACCGTCAAAGAAGCCACCATGCTGATAGGAGAGTCGTACCCTTTCTTCAGAGGGAACTACTATATGACCATCCTTGGAGAAGAAACTGATTCCATAAGGACATATGTCGCATCCAAGGACTCTAAGACTATCGCAGCACCAGAGACTTGGTTGGACTTGAGGATTAAGGGTTCACAGCTTAGCCAGTACTTCAGGAGAAAGTGCAAATACAATCCAAAAGGTCTTTTTGCTTACCCTGCTTATGTTAACGACACCCGTCACTCGATGCATTGGATCTCGGAAGCACATAGGAATTCTTGGCATGTACTTTTTGATGCAACTGCATTGGATTTTGGGAAAGATCGGCTAACCCTTGCGCTACACAGGCCTGATTTTGTGTTATGTACAGTTGAGAGTACACATCCTCAGCCGTCCAGAATCACTTGCCTCTTAGTAAGAAGAAAATCATTCGACACCTCAGCACCTTCAGCTTAGCAGCAGCTCCTGGATGACTTTTTGTAAGTGGTGCGAGGAAGAAACCAGCTGTGTACCATTTTACTTATTTCCGAGAACGAGGAGTCGTTGTAAAATGATTAGACTATCCGCTCTTTCTATGAGGGGCGAAACAAAGAGCAGTTTCTTGTTATCATTGCCTGCCTTATTTCCAGATGCGTTAAATAAACAGTTGCTTGCAACATAAACAGTTTCTTGTTATGTTATCCCATGAATCCAGAGGTCCTTCAAACTTTGAGACCGTGATGATCAATCCCTTTTTTGAGTTGTTATCAAGTTCCTCGTAGTTATATATACATGATCCCTGCTGTCTTGAAACCATGATCTAATTTGTGAACAGCAGTCCCCTTGTTTTGTAGGATTACCAAAGTCCAAAAATGCTTGAGCTCGTCATGACTGCCAAAAGGGGCAGATCGAGGTGCACAAACAGCGGGATTTGGTATTGGAGCAGCGTATTGGTTCAAGCTATTGGAAAGTATTGCGGCGCCCATTCTGAATATTCAATTCCCGTCCCAGTAACTTCCCCTCCGGATCATGCAGCTTATTGGCTGTCACGTTCTTTAGAGTCAGTCCACGTTACGTGTAATAAGCATGGTTCAAGGTCGCGGTCGCGGTCTGGACCGTTCTACATCAATGTGAATTTTTGAAATATTTAATATTTAAAAAATTATAAAAAAATATGATAAATAAAAATAATTTAAAAATTAGTAAAAATAATAAAATTTTAAGTTGACTCGGAATGACTCGAAGTGACTCGGTATGACTCGACCATTTCAACTCTTCACGGTGACGTCTCGACGAGTTAAGTATCTCGGTATCGTTTCGTCGCAGTCTCGTCTCGGACTAGACCGAGACGGTGATGACTCGACCGAGTCTTCGAACCATAGTTGTAAGACATATTTTCAATAGTACCCGATAAGATCGTTGTTCGCTAGAAAAAACTCCCATCATAGACATGGTTCAAAGCCATGGTAGCGGTTGCGATCATGGCCCGAACCATTTCACATCGATCTCGATATATTAATCGCGATTTTGGCGAGACGCAAAATTTTGAAATATTTAATATTCTAAAAATTATTTAAAAATGATAATTAAAAATAATTAAAAAATTAGCAAAAATAATAAAATTCGAGTTGATTCGGAACGACTCGACTGTTTCTATCCATTTTGAAAATGTCTCAGTCGAATTTTCAGCGATTTATTATTTTGAAATCATCTCGTCCCGATCGACCAAATCGTATCAGTCTCAGCTGAGTCTTTGAAACATTCAGAGAGGGAGAACCAAAACGTGCGCTTTGCTTTCACAGGCTGTATTCTCTTACTGACATTTTATGTCTGAACTTTAAAGTATAATGTTGTACGGTCTACCAGCACATTTAATATGCGAACTTCCTCGATCACTCAGTGGATTAGTATTTCCGCATTGGACTTTGACTTTAAGCAACCCTGATACGCTTGTAAGATTTGGACAAATAAACCCTTTTTCCTTTCTCTTCTTTTGTTTTTCCTCTACCATGTACTCCAATTTTTTGGGAATTTTGTGCTGCAGCTGCCCCGACTCTGGACCAAAAGCAGTAAAACCTTGGAACCTGTATCTTATATTTTAGTAAATGCTCTGGCACCAAGAAGACAATTAGCACCTATGAAACCAAATTATTTTGACTTGGACTACAGAATTTTCCATTCGTCTTCCTCTAAAAACATAACAAATTTTCAATCTCTTCGGAGTTCTTAATCACAGAGCAGAAACAACCTAACAAAAGATGGTTTTTACGAGCGGCTTATTCAGGTACATAGGCATATTAAAGTTAAAAGTGGTGAACAACTGGTGAAGGCAGCAATTTTGCACGCTTATAAAGCGTTGATCAGCAGCAAGGCCACTGGTCTCTGTCTAGCAGGAACAAGTCGCTGTATTGCAGCTATATTTTATTTAATGACACTTTGCCCCTAGAACCGGTGCCTTATCTCAAATTTATTGCGTCAGATCAAAATATGCATCACGTTTTTGAATAGTCGAAAATGATCATCTCGCGACAAGCAAATTGAAAGCTACTCCGACAGAAATTGCCACAAATTTCTACGTGTTCTTGTATCCCTTTCGAATTTTTCCTTCGGATGGTCAATAGTTTCGAAAATTTTGATGAGTTCCAATTTCCAGCTAAACCAACACCATCCTTGATTCCTCTCTCTCTCTCTCTCCCTCTCTCTCTCTCTATTTTTTTTTAAGCTATTCAAACCAAAACTATTCTTAGTCGTTGTATAATGTTTTTAAACTCGCACCGGAGAGTGAATCAGAAAACCTTCCGATTTGCAATTCAATTAGTTCAACCCCGATTCAAAGGTTTAATAAATTTTTAATTTATTTTAGTATTAAAAATTTTGAATCAAACTAAAATATTTAGGTTAGAAAATAAAAACTTAATAAAAATTGGTTGAACCTCCCAGTTTTTACCGGTTCAACCGATTCTTAATCGAGTTTAACCGATTCAATAAATTCTTTGAATTTTTTTTATTGAATTTGACTGGAAACATGGTCGATTCGAGGTTCAACCGATTGAACCGATCAATCCAATCCAATATTCAAAACATTGCACATATAGATGAGGACTACTAGGGACTTTTCATAGATACAATCCGAGATTACAAACTATTCTTGTTGTATCTTAGAGTAGAAGACATGTACTAAGGGTGCTGTCAAGTTGAGTTAACCTCAAGTAGCACCATACTCAAGATCGAACTCAAAAAGTATAAGTACTACTCGAGTTCAAACTCGAATTCGAATAAGTCAGGGAGCCCAAACTTAAACTTGACTCGATAAGGATTCAGAAACAATGCCGAGTCTTATCGAACTCGAAAAACTCGACTCAAGATCAAACACTAAGTTCAAAAAATGTCAAGCATATATTAGTCATTTCGTGTATGTGTGCATGTGTATGTATTATCATAATTTATGTTTTAATTATTTAATACAATACTTGACAGTACTTTCAATACAGCATCACCCCTAACGTGTACTGTAAGCCTTTGTCCACCTATTTGAGGTTGGACTTTATTTCACTCTATCATTTCGACAGTTAATAGCAGGAGGTGCAGTCGACAAAAATTACAACTAAGAGTAGCTTCTTATACAAGACCGAGTGACGTCATGTTTTTACAAATTATTACCTCAACAAGATTCATCTTGAGATATGCATCCCTGTTTGGATTGTCATTTTCTGCCGAAAAATTGCGTCATTTTTTGTGATCACATTTTCCTATTACCTTTTTCCCTCACATATATCAAATCGCTACAGTAATTTTTTCATGGAAAGTCATGGAAAATGCAATCCAAACGGGGCAATTGGATAGGAGATTATTTGAAATAATTGCTGTAACATTTTTTGTGATGTGATACATGTGAAATAAAATTGTAATTAAAAATTGTGTGTATGATGCAAGCAAAACAAAATTTGAATTTTTTTCTTGAAAATCATGTTATCCAAACACGCCCAATTCTATAAAATGTCAATATTGAAATGATACACTAATACAGGTGACTTGTACGCCATAAATGCACTTGAGGGCACTTGAGGGAAAATGACAATAGCATCTATTTAAGTTTAAGGGATAATTTCAAAAACCTACCCTGAGGTTTTCGACAATTTCACTCGACTCCTTGGAGGTTTACATAATTACAAAAACCTCCTTTGGCGTGATAAAAAGGCAAGAATGCCCTTCATTAATTGTCAACTCATTGAAAAACTCTATCAAATATTAAAGCTCTCTCATATATTATCAAACAATAATTCAACCTATCTTTCCCATTTAACTATCTATCATTTTCTTCTTACATTTATTTTCCTTTTAAACTCATTTTATTTATTATTATCAACCAAATGTGTATCGTCACCATTAAAAAAATTACCATACATACCAAACCACCAATGCTTACATATCTGGTATCTATTTCTCAATTTTTTATTATTATTAAATAGTTTCCTTTCCGCCATTTTTGTTTCTAATTTTGATAACCATTAGCAAATTGAAATTGTTCAATGGCAAATTGAGTGCTACTTTATTAACAAATTAGATGAAGATGAAAATAGTGACAGTGATAAAAATAATAAAAATTAAGGATAGGAAGTGAAAAAAGAACTAAATATAGGTTATACTGTTATAGTTACCATGAAAAAAAGTGTTATTGGTATATATTTATAATTGTATTGTGTTTCTATTTTTGATTTACAATTATTAATTTTATTCCTATAAAGAGAATTTGATTTATTTTGAACTCCGTGCCAATAGAGTATATTGGATATTGATATTAGTAGTAATGATTTAGATTATTTTGTATTAAAAAGGTGGCAGCCATGGAATTGAAATTTAGGAATATTGATGAATATTGTTATATATTAAATAAAATATGATATTAATATGAGATTTATAAGTAAACTTTTGGGTATCTAATGTAGCGTTTATAATTAATACAATAGTTTGCATTAGAAATTTTTAGGTAAAAAATGAATATTATAACAAAGATAAGTGTTTATTTAATGATGTTTTTGATATTGATGGGTAAATAATAGTAATAGCAAGTAAAGATAAATGAAATAGAGACTATGAACCTTTCTTTTTTCCTTTACATTTTCGTTGTGAATCATAACTTAAGGGCACTATAGAAATTTTGAGAAAAAGTATAGCTTTTTGGGTCTAGAATGTTTCTTAAATAGTGAAAATAGGGGAGGTAGGTGTAATTTTTAGAACTTGAAGGGAACTTTCTGCTATTGTCAAAAGCCTCAGGGGAGGTATGTGAAATTAACGCTAAGTTTAATGTTCAAATAAGCAAAAAACCAAAGCGATTCTTGAGCTAGAAAAGGTGGAGCATCGATCATTGAATTGAGGAAGAAAAGCACCTGTGTCAATGACGATGCTATTAGGATTGATTTCCATGTGAATATAACGTTGCTTCTTTTTCTTTCTCTCTTTTTTTTTCAGTAAATTTACCATCATACTTCTTACTTCTACTGTTTGGTGTCCTAAGCCTCCCGTCTACCTACCATATTACCAACTAATTAGTCTACTGCGTTAAAACAGCTCATAAAATCAGCCCCAATATTTGACATTTTGTGGTTGAACATTGGTAACTCGGTCAACAATTAATTAGTGCTTTAATTAATGGAAGAAAATTTAGCTTCACTTTCAGTCTTATTAATCTCCATCAAGTCTCAAGACTCTCGACAGGCCATGCATGACTCACGGCGGAGGATGTGATCC